CTTGAAGAATCACAATTATGAAAAAAATATCCCACATGTAATAATACTGAATATAATAATCCCAAATATAATAATACCAATGTAATAATCCTGAATATAATAATCTCAAATATAATAGTCTCAAATATATTAATGATCTCAAATTAATGATGAATTAATAATCTAAATTGGTAATTAATGATCTGAATAGATAATAGTAATTAATTTAGTTGTGATGCGTTAGAAATATTCTAATAATTGCTATAACTATAGTCAGTAATATAGTAAGTTATGGCTATAATGCTTTAACTTATTATAGTTAAAGCAAGTTATAGCAAATTACAATAATTAGAACTATTATATTATATCATTAGTGAAGTATAAATTTAAACAATTTAAAATATTGTAATCAAATCTTAAATAATTATCACTTGAATAAATAAATTAGTTCTCTTTTGAAATTTATAATTTTATAAGCCTCAAACTTAAACTAAACTTTAAGTAGCAATTATATATAGTATCTCAGATTTTGGTAGCAATGCTAAATAGTTTAGCGAGTAATTTTTATAAACTAATAGAACAAATCTATGCATATTCTTTAGTTTTTTGTACAAAATCTGCTTACTTTTGTGAGGCTCTTACTTCTAATTAGGTCAAATAAGGTAAGGACAATATATTTCATCAAAAGTAAAATCTCAATATGCAACAATTATTATTGCAAAGATCTAAAATTCAAGTCAACTTAGTAGTTACAATCTGATTGATTTGGATATGGGTGAACGATATAAATATTCAATATAAGCATTCAAATGGTAGTTTTATTAAGTGATTATATTAATATATCAAAAGATGCATTTCTTCATAGTAGTAATTATAGACTATATTTTAATAGAGATTTATTTATTAAGGAGAATTATATAATTATGATAATAATATATATTATCCAATATTTCAAGTAATTAAAAAATAATCATGCCTTTTACATTAGTAAATTAATAAAGGACTTTATATGTACAAATAAATAAAGTGAATTAAATAAAATTTAATAGGTGCAAGTTTATGATTGCTATATTCACATGCCTCTTTAAATGCACGCTCTATGAAAAGCCTCCCTAAATACACATCTTCACTTTGGCCCAACTATTGAACAATACTTCTTGCTGCAGGAGGTATTTCTACCTTTAATATGTCAAATACAGAAAAAATATCAGATGTTGGTAAAAATGCCAAAGCAAATAATTGGTGTATTTTTAAATTTAAATAATTATCAGTACTATATTGAACAGATAAGCCTGTTTCTTGTATTTTTCTTCAACTGCTTTGTGCCAAATAAAAAAACAGCTTTTGTTTGTTACACCTGAAATTACATTACATGATACACTAATTGCAGCAATTTCAAAATCAGTAATGATCATTAATAGCCTTAATATAATTTCATTTTTTGCTAAAAGTCATTTAGATCTTGAAACAACTGTGTATAGAGCTCTTCTGATTTGTTGCTCATAAGAGTATAAATGAGTAGAAAGATCTGAGAATTTTTGCTTAAACCAAAAGGAGTGTGAATAGTATAAAGCTAGCAAAATACTGTAGGGACAGTTCGAAAAGTTCCGTTTATAACCCAAAAAGATGCTTGAGACAAACATTGCACTTTAGTTTTAGTTATAAAAATAAGAACCCAACCCAGTCCAACTTGTGAATCTCTAATAAGAAACAATTCTCTCTTTAAAGTATATTGGAATAAAAGTAGTACATTGACTTCCTTGAGAGTTTGAGGTTGCGGAGGCATTTTAGAAGCTCTAATATACTTTATTCTTATATGAAATGCATCTTTTTAAGGTATATAAGGTGCTAAATTTTTATCAACTACAGTGATATTATTTTGAATAATCTGTGCAGGTAAGTCATGTGATTCTTTTTCTTGTTGCTTAATATGTTCAACTACTTTGGCTACTTCACTACTACTTGGTTGAGATAAGTATATATGTGCAGCAGTTTTTTTAAGAAAATGTAAATTATTAGAAAAGATAGTTACAGCACAGCCTGTATATTTTTCAGATTTTTTCTTCTTGCAGTACCAGTAATAAGTATTTTCTACAGTGTGTTCTTTCACTAACAAGAAACTATGAACATTTAATTTTACTTTTCCCTTTTGAAAAGTAACAGTTTCACAAATTTCATTAATCTTATTTATATTATTGACAAGTTCAAGAGAAAGCTTCTAAAATTTTTTTCTTATATATTTAACGAGATATTAAAACTCCACTAATCAAAACAAATCAAGATATGACAAGAAATTTTATCAAAATTTTTGAATTTTACTTTTAATAGACAATTCATCTACTATCTGAAGAGGATCTGCAAATTTTATAAGTAAATTTTACTATTAAGCCAAATGTGGAAAAATCTTTTCTAAAACTTTTTTTACTAAATAAATCACTCTTGGGCTTTTAAAAAAAGTTGTAGAGCTCATCAAGATGCATCTAATGGCGGTAAGAATGCTAAAATCGGCCTAGTGGTTCTTGAAAAATCTTAAAAAAACATTTCACTAACATATAAAATTTCTTTAAAAAAAATCAATTTTTTT